TCCGGGTTTCAATACCCGTGGTGGGCAGAGCACAGATAGCCCATTGTGTAGCTTTGTGCTTAATTACAAAAACAGAATAAACAAACTTGCCCATTAAGAGCCGCCGTTATAGACTGCAGATTGGTCTGTCTCAAAAAAGTGACAATATTACATAAAGGAGGTGCTTATATATGGTACCAGGATAGAAGGCACATTGAAGTAGATGGAGAGTGTCATGAGACAGATATCACCCAGGGGAATAAATCAGACCAATGCTTAGATGGGCAAGGGAAAGAAACCATAGCAGTCTAATAACAGTTGTAGTGTGAGAGGAGGTAAGTATTATTGGAAATACATTTCTGTTTAAGAAAATGCCAACTTTTAGTATTTTTAAGTCTATTTCAGACCCAGTGAAAAATATTGAACATGTTTTAAATGACATTAACATTTTATTTCAGAAACAATTGATCCAAATTGGAAAGTCAACATAATTGAGCTAAAGATAAAAGTTAAAAGAGACAAGGAGGAAGCTCATGTTAAACCTGACAAAGTTAAAATTTTATAATCAAAGAAGCAAAAATTGGCTTAGCCTTCTTGATTGTAACTTGAGAAACAAATTATTCATCAGCAAACTGCAAGTTCAACCAGGTGTTTATGTAAAGATGTTCCTTTTCATGTGTCAAGATCAGTTGATCAGTGATAAATGTATTTCTTAGAGACTTTCTCAAATTACATAAATAAACTTTTCCTGAATTGCCAAGTCTTTAGTTTGTATAATTTGTTTTTATTCTACCTCAATGTAAACAAGTAGAAAAATAACAAATTCTTACTTTGTAAAATACAGTAACATATTGGCTACCATACATTACATATGTGTGTGTATGTATGTATGTGTGTGTGTGTGTGTGTGTCTAGCTGGACAGGGCTGAGAAGATTCTTGAAAGTTTGTTTGTTTTAGCACAAAACTACACAATAAGCAATCTGTCCATCACAAATAAATACTTAGATGTCAATTATTTTTCTTCAAACATAACACAGTAAATATAAAATATTTAGAAAACAATGATCTCTACTACTTACAATGCTACAAAGTCCTTGTTTGCACTCATGAGCCATACTTGCTAAGCCTCGTCCAAATTCACATGTGGTGATGGAAAAATAATAAGTTTTGTAGACTTTATATAAGTATTTTGGAATACAAAAAAATATACATTACAATACCAATATCCCAAAAATCCACTGTAATTTAACAGGTTAGCTAAATTGTATTTGGGTCTACAAAATATAATTTGTATTCACAAAATAGCCTTGAAAGCAATACTTCAAACTTTCCAATCATATAAGAGCATTTCTCTCGTAAATAACTTTGGAAGACTGACAGAATTATGTAGAATAAATACATAGCTTTCTAATTGATTATAAAATTATTGGTATATAAAAGTAGGCATAGATAAATAAGTTTTTTCAAATGATGAAGTGGTGAGTGGAGCCAATATGGTGGGTTCATTAAATACCATGCTATCTCAGCAAATAGAAAAGGTAAGAGGTTCTTATTTTATATTCTACATTTCCAATATCAAACATTTAGTTCCCAATTCTACAAAACTATAGACATTGTATTGTGGGCATCATAAAATGTAATCTGATCAAACCCAGAAGGCCACGTAGTCACAAAAACATCAATATTTTGCCTTTTTTTTATTTAGCTTCAAATGAAGAAACTAACTAATGTATAATACTAAAATTTTAACTATGATCTACAACTTGATTGACATAGATTTATAAAATAACAGCTAATTATAATGTTGAATGTAAATCTAGTTAATGTAGTGAAAATGTAGTGGACCACAAAGCACGATGAAAGGTCTGATGAAAGTCCAGACATTAAACAATCAAACTTTTAACAAAATAAGGCAGAAACTGTCCATGGAGTAACATGAATGAAAGCCATTATAAACGTGTGAAAAGAACATAGAATTTCCATATTGGGAATGGAGACTACATAATGGAAATGAAGAACCAAACACTTGAAATCTGGTGGTCAAAAATGGCTATCAAGATCTCCATCTGCCCAAACAGGGTGAGCATGTACAGGAGGAATTGTAATGTTCAATCACCTAGAGGATAAATCTGATAAAAACCCATGCTGGGTCCCCTGCACCTGCGGCCTGTAAGATAGCACTAGTCATAGGCGTGATAACCAAAGTGGTAACATTAGCTTCAAAATGCAACTGAAATAAGCTGGGATAAATGAAGGCAAATTTCAAACTCCAGAAAATCTGGAAGTTAAAAAAATGAAGACCACTTCGTGAGTATACTAAATAGGAATGTGAAAACAGTAAAGAATGACAAAAAAAATAGGGGGGGAGCAGAAAGCTTATGGCATGTGTAGGTAAAAAGTTTGCAGCAAAAAGGAGGCAGCAATGAACAAGAATAGCTAATCTTGTGAGAAGAGAGAAGTACTGTATCAGAATTTATTGTTACCTTAAAAAAACAAAAAAAAAACATGTGCTTTAACTTATTAATATATAATCTCCTTGTAAAGCATTCTTCCTTTGTAACATTTTATATGACTAACTGATTGAAAAATAAGGTTGTATACAAAGTAGACATTTGTTTACAAATTTATTTAAAAATTAAATTTAAAAGTATGACCATCTGTGTTATTACATATTTATACTAATGATCTATGCATTTTTAACATGTCACAGCACACCTAGACGAATCTAAATACAAGAAGTTTTAATACAGACATACAGCCAATGCATGAAACAAATTTAGGTTACACAAAACACTTAAATTACCAATCTGTTTATAAATAAATGTATTAAACAATCATATTAGACAGCATATCTACCTTCACTAAAGCATATTCCAATCTCTCCTCCACAGAATTTTGCCTCCAGTCTACTGTTTTGGAAACTGATTTCTCACTTTTTCCATGTTTCTGAAATAACAAGAATACAGAAACCATTCTACAATGAAAGGTGACTCAAAAAAATTTGATCATTACAATATACTAGAAAACAAAAGTTCATTTTAAAAAGACATACAAAATTTATGTTTAAAAATAAGGGCTAAATGAAAAAGAAGAAACAAAATGATTGGATACTGAGATGTCCAAAAACTGAATAAATCACAAGTACAAGATATGGAAAAGAAGAAGAAAAAAGCATCAACAGAATAATCCTATTCATAATGTATGTTATATTTATGTAATAACTGATAAGCAAGAGCAAAAAAAAAAAGACACTACACACAAATCTGTCAGAAGGACTATATTTATATAATAAAGCTGTTCATTCTCAATGCTGATTAACAACTCACAATAACTTTAATCCTGTTGTTTCTTGATATTCTTTATCAAAGGGACAAAATGGTTGATTTGTTTGTTGTTAAACACAAAACTACACATTGAACTATCTGTGCTCTGCCAACAGTGGGTGTCGAAACCTGATTTCTAATGGACAACAAGATTCAATTTTTTAAATAATGTGAATTTTGTTTAAAATTTTCAGTTATGTGCTTTTATGATCAAACTTCTTGACAAATAAAAATATAACTGTAATATGAGTCACCTTTTTCAAGAAAGAGTCATTGGAGTGATAATTTATGGAATAGTTTTGCATGTGTGGTATGTTATAACATCAGTAATAAAAATTTGTTCATTCATTTTTTAAACTTATATCAAATTGTAAAGGTTCTGATGAAAGGTCTAGGCATAACGTAATATAAAGGATTTCATTACTGAATAGCAAATATTTATTGTAACTAGAAGGTGAAGGTTAAATACTGGAAGAAAGACTCTTGATTTAGACATTAAAGCACTGGTAGATTAACTCTCTCAACACAGGCTCAGTTAATTTGACCGATCATGTGACCTCTTTGTACTTGTTCAAAGTCCTTATAGATTTGATACTACTAACTTTTAATTTAATGTTTATATCTTTACAAAATTTGGCAGTCTTTCAGTAAACATTATAAGTCTTTCACATACAAAAAAATCATATTTTTAGTGAAATAGTTTTAATAAACTAAAAATAGATTTGTCCTTGAATATAGAGTATTTGTTTTGAATATTCTGTGTGCAAAGTGATTTTCATGTTAAGATTAAAAGTACTTTTGTTCATCTGTAAAATCTCAAATTTCATTTCTGTAATTTCTAAAACCTCCTAAATATATTTCAAATGCTAGTTTTCAGTAAAACTTTATATTTTATCTGTTATTTTCTCTACCCTAACTCTATACGCAGTTAGTCAACTTGTCTGACCAAGTAACCACCAAAAAAAATTGAAATAACTCTAAATTACCCTATTTTTCTTTCTAGAATGACTTCAAATGTAACATGGAACTACATTTGTTTATCCTAAGTAGCTTTAAACTCATAAAAGTATATATCTATTTATAATTAAATTTTATTGCAATTTTAATTGCTTTTTGAATTGTGTCTAACTACTGTTCATGCCATTATAAGTTGTAAATCACTTGGGGAACGTGCAGCTCACATTACGCCATCAAATTACCTTACCCACGAGCTATTCCGAGCTGTTCATGAAATATTATTATTTATTTTACCTAATCTAACCTTAACTAACCTAAAGAAATCCCTATCTTTACATTTTCGTTACTTACCCAATCTTCTTTTTTCTTGCTGTTGATTGTTGATGACACTTAACCCTACTTTTTTTTTTATACTCATGGTAGTAATGTACTAAATAATATTTATGTAATTAAATAATGCACCAAAGAACATAGAAGAATAACATGCAAAAAGTAGACAACTTCCCCCTAACTCTCAAAACTGGCTTTTTAACTATGCAAAAAGAGCTGTTACAAATTCATCCAAGCTAATCGTTAACTTTCCCATGGGAATAAGCCATGTATTATAAGTGAAATTGACACTTATCTGATCAGAACGAAATGTTATACAATATGTCATTTGATAGATGAAAACCTTGGCTTTCTATTGGTTATAGGTAATATGTAATTAAACGTAAGAGAGAACTATTAACAAATCCTGAAAGAGAAGATGTGATAGGTGGGTGTGACAAGAGGGATCTGATATTCTATTTGATAGCCCTGTAACCAAACAAAATTGAAGGCTATACAAATTATGGTTTGCAATTATGAGCAATGACGATATTATAGTGATTAATTTATGTTTAACTTCATAGTTACTGGAGGGGTGATGGATAAAATAGGGAAGATACCTTGAGAAAATGTGTCACGTGTATCACACTAGGGGAAGTTCAGGATTTTTTTAAATATTGCCTTATAGAAGTAAGAGCTTAAAACTGATATACTATTAAAATATGGATTATTAGCTATACTAATTGGTATAACACAAATTAAAAGTAGTTTAATAAAATTTTGAATGTAAGACACAAAAACCTTGTGTCATGCACAGTAAAAGACACTCGTAGTGATAGGGTTAATTATTAATAGCTGTCTCACTTCCTGTTTATTATTCTAATCATTACCATCAGTAAATAAAATATTATCTTCCAAGACAAAAACGTTACTCACCTGTGCATATTCAAGAAGTTTTTCAGTACCCTGGGGGTCTCTGTTCCAGAGTAGATTTTCACACAGATGAAGTAGCTCAGGTTCAATATCATCATAAAGTGGAAGCTTTCCTGCATTTACAATACCCATGTCCATCCCAGCCTAAATAACAAGTTAACTTTCAATTAAATATTGTAATAACACTTCTTCAAAAATGGTCACATATAAAATCTTATAATTTCTTTTATACCCAGTATTTCTTGAAGTAATTTTAACTAAAATGCTTAATTTTATTATGTTTTGGTAACAGTGCAGAAAAGATTAGAAAACAGCTAAATACATTTAAATCATACGACATGTTACAATAATATAATTATTTTGAAGAACATGGTACAGATATTATTTTGACCATGAGCAATATGAAGTATTTTAAAATATTTAACTTTTTGGATTTTCGATTTTTGTCACAAATTCATGAATATTTGTTTCAGAAGATACAAACTGCTATCATAAACACTTAAATTTTAACATCATAATATCTTAACAAAAGTACCTTGATAGCATGATAAAGAAAAACACTATGCATTGCTTCCCGAATTTTCTCCATTCCACGGAAGGAAAAAGAGAGATTAGATACACCACCACTGACTCTTGCTCCAGGGAGAGTACTCTTATAATAAAAGAAATGCCTTTAGTTTTCTCATGGACACTCACTTATATTAAAATCATTGATAAGCCTTTATCAAATGTAGAAACAACAGCCATTTCCCATCACTATTTATTCACTACCACACAAACTGGTATTCCATCTGTATGTGTTTAACAACATCTGAAATACTTTAGGTACCATTTCCAGATGACTGCCCAAGATACTTTACACAGCTTATTGCAGTGTTGTTTCATGGTAATATGATTTTGCTGGTACAGGTTTAAGAGTAAAGAATATGATCATGTTTATTAGTGTTACTTAGAAAGCAGCAAAATATATCTAAAATCCTGACAATGATGTGTTGAAAATATCAGATTAATGCCTGCTATTAAGGTTTTAAAGCTGATGTTCAAAACAAATTATTTTGTTTAAATTATTTACATACATTTTATTTATTTTTTAAATCACTTAAAACTAACAGAGTTAATATTTCAAAACTATATGAAATAGGCTATAAATGTTCCCAATTTTTATCAGTTACAGAACCCCATTCACCTCCCAACCACAAACTATTTTCTTTCTCACTCTAATATTATACTTTTAATAGAAAAACATGGTTTTCTTTACCTTTATTCTTTTTGTTGCATTAATATAATCAATACCATAGGTGTTGTGTTCTTCCATTCCTGTTGCTATAGTAAGGATGTTTGGATCAAAAATAATGTCATTTGGATTAAACCCAGCTTTATGTACAAGTAGATTGTAAGAGCGGGTACAGATCACTACTTTTCTGTCATCATCAGCTGCCTGTTAGAAAAAAATTTTAATCCTTAACCAAGTAAGTAAATATGTATAAATTTTGTCACCCAAATTCAATACTCTCAAAAAAGTCAAAGTTCGGTAGTAAAAGAAAAAAAATTAACTTTGGCTTTTGATGTAGTTTTTATCAAGTAAAGTGGTTCTGTTACAATTAATAGAAATTTTTATTTGTTGAAACCTCAAACGTTTAGAATTAATCCAGTCAATAATATACATCTGTAAAGAGTAGTGTTGTATAAAAACTTTTACTCTTTGCTGCAACTGCTGTCTTAGCTCAAACACATAACTGTCATTTAACAAAAAAATCACAAACAATTAAACAAACACACTGTTTTTAAACATAACTTTTAATTCGAAGCAACTGTGTTTGGTAATAAATAAAGTCAATGTTTAATCTCACTTGTCCAATTTCATCAAAGGCCATAACCACGACTGCTGCTCCATATTTCTTAATGATCTGAGCTTTGTGTAAAAAGTCTTCTTCCCCTTCCTTCAAGCTGATTGAGTTGATAATGCATTTTCCTTGGGTGCATTTTAAGCCTGCTTCTATTACTCTAAAATTAGAGGAATCAATACACAGGGGTACCTATCAAACAAAGAAATGATAAAACCATTATGCCATTAACCAACTACAGGATTTTACAATGTCATTTTCCACTCATCTTTCAACAGACATTTGCAGTACACTCATTTTTGACACATTTGTAACACACAGTATGTGACTTCATAAAATACATCTCACATCTCAGAATGGGCATAATCATATCAATTATACGTAAATTATCAATATTATATTTTCTTTGTTTAAATTTCTACTATATTCTAAAACAAACAGAAAATAAATGTATGAAAACTATAAATAAATACTTTGCTTATATCTGGTTCTGTGGCAATTAGATTCAGAAATTTTGTCATTGCTCTTTCTCCATCTAACATTCCTTCATCCATGTTAATGTCAAGAATCTGTGCCCCAGATTCTACCTGGGTTTTGGCAATTTCTAAGGCATCCTAGGAAATGATGAAAGATAAACGTTTTTTTTTATGAACAGCTTTCATAAAGTACAAATTACACATATGATTAAAAGAAATTACTTTAAAAATAATAACTTACAGAGATAAGTCAATTTTCTGTAAAGACTCAAAACATTATTAAAATTTAAAATCAATTATTCAGTTCAAAGCCCAAGCTTAGTTAACATGTGGTATTTCACAAATAAATGAAAAAAAACAATAATATAAACAAACAATTTCCTTCAAAGAAGATGAAGATGGTGGTTAAAACATTTTATTTTAGACATTTTGAATTATATACAGTCCATCTTCACCACACAGTTATAAGCACAATTAAGTCATAACACTTTAGAAGAAAATTTATAAAAAAAAACGCTTACATATCAGAGCTGAATTCTTGTATTCAGTAACGTTTTTTTTGTTTGTTTTTTTACCACATCAGACTAAACCTTCATGATTAAATTATAATTCTTTGTAAATCAAATCACATGTCAATGTCAAATACATTTCTTTTTTATTAGTTATTTTTTCTATTACTAAAGCACACAACTATTTGTACTGAAAGCATATAAAACTTAAAACAAAAGTCAATCTTATTTTAGGTGAGATTAACCCTATACACACAGGGTAAGTCCAATGGACTGACCATATTGGGAAATTAATATTTACCATCATTCCAAATCTACTAAATGTATCTTCACAAAATTTGGTAAACTTTTAGTACACATTACAAGTATGTTGCACTCAAAAAAAAAAAAAAAATTTTTATAAAATATTTCAACTAAAAATTTGTCTGTGAATTTACTGAGTTAGTTTGACTCTGACAAGTCTGGGTGCATGGTGATTTTTATTTTAAGAATATTTTTTTTAACCTTAAAGTTTCATACTGCATTTGAATAACCTCTAGAACCTCATAACTCTTTCAACATGGGCTTGGTCCCTGTGACCAGCCTCGTAACAATTTTGTGCTTGATATATTTTTCATGCCGTAACTTTTAAATCATTAAGCGTATGTTAACGAAATTTGGCAGTTTATCAGTAGACATTACAATGGTTTCATACACAAAATATCAAATTTTTTTATTGTCTTAAGGTTTGTAAAGCAATGTTTTTCTCATGCCTTTTTTTTTCTTTTCTCATGTTGCCTATCCAACATGCAAAG